TGTGTGTGTGTGTGTGTGTGTGTGTGTGTGTGTGTGTGTGTGTGTGTAATGCTATATTATGACATCGGGATGGAACAAAGCACTCAAGTGTAGGCTCAAGAATGTTTGCCCTACCTAAGCCTAAGACTTCCTCTAAAACTCTCACCTCGTTTTATGGTCCTGACCTACCCAAGTCCTTATCCATCTGATATGAGTCCCTGCAGGTCTTCTGGGGGTAGAAATGTTATCACCTGCACTGTGGATTGGTGCTGGTCCTTTGGGAGACACTGTGAACGGCAGAGTCAACTCTGCATGCCTGTATAACTTCTTTGCACACAACCACTCCCCCATTGTGGGGCACCGAGGGATCAGACCAGTCAGAACCAATCTGTCACTCTCCAAAATATGCTAAACTTGAGTTTTCATTAGTAAAGGAGGGAGGATGTGATCTAATGGGGGCCAAGTGTTAAACCTGCTTTGTTTTTTCCCCCCTGACATTATCCGTCAAATAGACCTGATTGTTAAGACCTGAGTCATTTTGCTTTTGAAATGGGAAGGTGAATCCTAGGGGTTTTGGTCCTTGTTCTCCTTCATATTTGGTCAACTGGGTACTGTATTTCTTCAGGGAACAATTATATTTCTTACTGTCTTTTCTTTTTGTTGTCTTTGCTTCTTTTCTGTATTAATCTCTTCTTTTAGTGCTGTCTGTATCAGGCTTCCTTCTTCTTTGAGCTCAGGGTTATATAGTAAAAACTAAAAAGTTATAAAATCCCATAATATTTATAAAATATTTAGTACAGTTCCTGGCACATAGTAGGTGCTACATAAATGTTGGTGATGATGACAATGACTCCATTTTACATGAAACTAGTTATGATTAATAATGTACATTTTATTTCTTCTTAATCTTTTTTCCCCCCATAGGATTTTTGTCCCTGAGTCATGGCAGACAGAAGACCTGAAAAATCATGTGAACAAGCATGTGAATCTCTTAAAAGGCAGGACTATGAAGTGGCAGTGAGACATTGCACAGAGGCCCTTCTTTCCCTTGGCCAGTGTTCCTTGGCAAACTTCACAGAGACATGCCCATCAGAAATAGAACGCATAAAAATTGAGAGTCTTCTGTATAGAATTGCCTCATTCTTACAACTTGTGAGTAAATGTTAAATAATTGCAGTGTCCATTTGTAGCTATTAATATAATGGACCACGAGATCCAACAAAAAGGCCTTCTTAATGAAGTGTGATCTGCAGTTGGCACATCATGTGGCTCAGGAGATATGTGAATTGGCTGATACAAAAATTATTGGTTAGCAAATATTTTTTTCCTAAGTAACATTTTTGAACCTTGATTATTACTATGGAACATTTATAAATATTGATATAATAACTGTGTAATATTTATTGTTGAAAGCATAATAGCTGGCATTTATACAATGCTTTAAAATTTGCAAGGCACCTTACAAATATTATTCCCTTTTTTCTCACAACCACCATGGGATGTAGATGCTATTATTTTCTTCATTTTACAGAGAAGGAAACAGAGAGCTTAAATGACGTGGCCTCATTAGTAAACGTCTGAGGCTATATTTGAACCCAGGTCTTCTGATTCCACAAGTAATGCTGTGTTCACTGTACTGATCTCTGTGTCATTTAGCTGTTTTCCATGAAGATTATTTGCACCACTAGACTTTAAAGCATAAAATTTTACTTCCTTTGTTGAAACAAAGTATTATTCTTCAAAATTTTAAAATAACATTTTTATATTTTTTGCTTTACAGAAAAACTATGGACAAGCTGATGAAGACTGTAGGCATGGTATGTTTAAAATAAAAACCTTATAGAATTCATGATTGAATGAATGAAAAAACCAATTATTAAGTGTTTACCATTTGCCAGACCTTGTGCCAAGTGCTGGAGATACAAATATTAAAAAGCAAGAGATAGTTCCTGCCCTCAAAATCTTAACATTTTAATAAAAGAAGACAAACACATAAAAGGGAAAGGTGACCAGGACACTATTTTATTCTGGGGAGGCGGAAAAGGAAGGGAGATAGGCACACTGTGAGTAGGCAGAGGGTGAAGTAGATAGCCTGGGTAGGCTAGCAAGTTGAGGGATGGTCTGGTATCAGTAGTGAGCTAAGTGAGCTAGTTTCTACACAGGAACCAATCCACTGAGTTGGACCCTAGGGCAAGAGCTCCAAGAATGAATCGATTAATTTCCCCAATGATTGGGGCATTAGATTCAGGAAGACCTGAGTATGGAAATGTAGATCTTAAATCTTGATGTGAAGGGTGTTGTTTTAGGTGGAGAGAAGCAGGTCAGCAGTAGCATGTAAGTGGAGAGAGGGCCTAGTTGGTTTGTTTAATGGCTTGTGAATTGATTAGATTTAGCAATGTCTTTTTTCTTTCTTTTACAAATTTCAAAAGCGATTGAAATAGAAAAAAAAAACCAAACTTTTTTCTTTGGTTGCTGGTGACTCTCTTGGAAGATGACTTTATGCTTTACCAGAGATGTATATACCTAATTGTTGTTCCTGTTGAATGAGGGTTTTTGATCAGAGCCAAATTTTTATTTAAGTACATATATTGAGTAGATGTAATTAAACTTGATCAGTTGAAAGAATATGCCAACTCCACCTGAAAATGCTATTTTCCTATTTTAAAACATGCCTGGCAGAAAGATGAGATTAAAGTTTGGCCTCATTCTCTGTTCTTTTATGCTGACAGGAGTTTAAAACTAACAAGATTCTTGCTGTTTGAGTACTGAGAGAATGGGAATACTTTTCCTTTTGCTTCATTGCTAACTCACAAAAATGAATTCAGGCCTGAAAGAGAGCTAATAACGTACACTCATCACAAGATTTTTGTCCAGGTTCAAAGCTATGCCTCATTTATCTAGTATCATCAAGGAATTGTGCATAAGAGCATTTTCTAGCTAACCTCTTGTTGCCAAGACATTTTGCACTTTAACTACTTTTGAACAAAGTCTTTTCTAAAATATATTACATCCTTGGCAGCACCCCACCCCCCTTCCCCACTTTCTTAATGGAACAAAACATTTTATTGAGTAAATAGCTGTGCATCTATAGAAGGTGTAGGGCCAATGCATTGTTATTGGTTCTTGACCCTAGCCTAATTTTGTTGCTGCAGGAAATGAGAACTATTAGAAATGAAGTTGGGAACAGAGTGGGGATAACTTCCCCTATGCTGACTCCTTTTACCCATCTTGGCCTTATCCTGGGATTGGGATGAGGAGGATATATTTGGGCAGGGTGGTGTTGACTTCCCAATCAATCAATAAACATGTAATTAAGCAAAAAAGAGAAAAGATAATCCCATCCCTAGGGAAGCTTACAATCTACAAGGGGAATATAATATGCAAATAAGTATTTATAAAACAAGCTTTAAGCAGGAAAAATAAGAAATATTTAAAAGAGTGAAAATACTAGAATTAAGAGGGGTTAGGGAAGGCTTCCTGTAGAAGGTGGGATTTTAGTAGGGACTTAAAGGAAGCTAGGGAGGTCAGTAATTAAAGCCAAGGAAGGACAGTGTTTCAGGGCAGTGGTACAGCCAGAGAAAATGCCTGGAGTGGAGAAATGGAATTTTTTTGTTGGTGGAACAGCCAAGAGGCCAAGGTTACTGGATCAAAAAATACACACTGGGGAATAAGATGTAAGAAGTCTTGAAAAAGTAGGAGGGAGCTAGGTTATGAAGGGCTTTGAATGCCAAATGGAATTTTGTATTTGCTGTTGGAGGTAATAGGAAACCATTGGAGTTTATTGAATAGCGGAGTGACGTGGTTAGGCTTGTGCTTTAGGAAAATCACTTTGTTAGCTCAGGGAAGGATAGAGCCGAGGAGAAACTTGAGGTAAGAAGTCCCACCAGCAGGCTGTTGCAACAATCAAGGTGTGAGGTGATGAGGACCTGTAATATTGTGCACAGAGAGGCAGTGTTGGAGGAGAGAAGAGGTTGTAGTTGAGAGATGCTACAAAGATGAAATTAACAGGCCTTGGCAACAGCTTGGATATGGTGGGGTGAGAGAATGAGGAAACCAGGGTGACTCCTAGCTTGTGAGCTTGAGGGACAGGGAGAATGATATTGCCCTCTAGAGTGATAGGGAAGATAGAAGGCAGGGAGGGTTTAGGGGGAAAGATAATAATTTGTTTGGACATACTGAGTTCAAGCTGTCTAATGGACATTCAGAAGTGCCTGAAAGGCAATTGGAGATGCAAGATTGGAAATCAGCTAGGAGTTTGTGACAAAGGTACATTTGAGAATCATTAGCATAGAGACAGTAATTAAATCCACGGGAGCTGATGAGATAATCAAGTGTAGAAGAGGCCCCAGGACTGAATCCTGGAGAGCTCTTTAGGGTCTGGAGGAGGATCTAGCAAAGCAGACAGAGAATAAGTGATCAGATAGGTAGGAGGAGAACCAGGAGAGAGGTGTTAAGAGCTGTTAAGGGGTCCCCTGAACTTGTCTTTTTTAGTTGCCATATTTTCCAGAAACACTGGACCCAGGCAGAGCATGCAGGAGGCCCTCAATGTGTCAAGGACAAAGCTCCCCCAGCTGACATAATTTGTTGTTTGCACCCCAAGCTGGATTCCATGTGTGTCCTTGGGAGGCAAGACAGGTGCCTGCCAGGCTGGGAAAAATGCTTGTGCAGCTGTGGTCGTTTGCAGATAAAGCTGACTACCTATCTTCTTAGTCTAGTGGTTTCCAGGGGAAAAGAATGATTTTTGCTATCACTTTACTCCACCCCTTTGGGCGAGATTGTAGTCCCTTTGTCCTCCCATGCCATGCCCCTTCCAGTTTTCTCCTCCTTTGTTGTACTGTCATAAATGTGCAAACTTCTGTAAGGACTGTGAACTCTTTGGGTTCTACATTCTTTTGTAATCAACCTGGTTTTCACATAAGTCTCATGATGTTGTGATTGCCGGTTGACAAAATGATGTCTTGCAAATCTAAGAGAAGAAAGAATCCAAGAGGAGAATGTTCAACAGTGAGATTTTAAGAAGGAGACTGTTATTGACTGGCCATCTTGAACCCTGGTTTGGAAATACCATGATAAGAGGAAAGAAGGAATGGTGCCTCATTCCCCTATACCTCTTTCCTTCCCCTGGTCTCCACTAATTAACTTCTATTTTAATTTTATGAAATTTAAAGGAGTTATCAGAAGTCCACACTCCCTAAATCCACTCAGTTTTTACTATGAAAAATGGGATTTAGACAATTAGGTGTATGCTGGATACAGGAAATCAAATGATCACCAATACCAGGTGATTCCACTCAGGTTAGGGATGTTTGTCAATTGTTAACAATTGCCTCTCCTGGGGAAAAAAGGTATGCAAAACACACTTTTAAGTTTAATTTGCATTATTAACATTTTTCCCATTACTTTCTTAAATCTAGATAATCAATGAAACAATAAATCAAGCCCTGATTTATAGCATTTGACAATTTCTGAGATGTAAATTTAATCGAAAAATTTAAAAATGTATGTTTGTGAGTCAGTTCAACATGGTTCCAGCACACCTCTGCATGTAATACAATGGAAGTGGGAAGTTTTGAGGGGAGCCATCACCCCATGGGGTTCAAAGACTTTTGATAAAGGTGGGAAGATGGCTGGCAGTACCTGCCTATTCCTTTTGTAGTTATAAATTAACCTGAATATACAATGTTGGGTTTGTAAGTCATTCAGGTTCAGGCTGTTGTTTGGTCAGCAACTAAAAGAAATTTGGGATCATTACCCTCTCGGTCAGAAAGTGAGACTTTTTCCTCCTAGGAGTAGATGACCTTGTGTAAGATAGATGGTAGCTAAAGAGCAAGGAAATAAGGAATAAATGATGAATCAAGGGCAAGGGAGATGCCATCATAGACCTAGGGACAAATTGCAAGAAAAAGGATTATAAACCCGTAGCATCTTCTTCTATGTATAATTTTGCAAATGTTTGGGAGCAGAATTGCCACTTAAATACTTTTGGTTCTGATACATGCCTTTTTGTTCCTAAAAAACTTCTACTCTCATCTGCTGTTGTCTCAGTTTCCAGTAGGTCTTTGCAGGTTAGGGGCTGGAATGGTTTTTTGTGTGGATGGCCTATGACACTGCCCTGTGTGAGGGGGAGGGAGTGGGTTATCATTTCTTCGGACTCTTTAGTTGGTGCTGTGGTCTTCATTGACTGGTTGGGAAACTGGAGACTCAAGCTTGGAACATTGAGACACTGTATTCCCGTGAGAGCAGGATCGGGGAAGAACTTTGTGTATTCATGTTGGTCATGTCAGCATTCATCAGTGCTTGGATACTCTTTTAGCTAAAAATGGAATAACACAATAATGTTGTAGATGGACTCCATGCTTATGTTTCTTCCATCATCATTTTCTTTGATCAAAGGACCCACTTTTTGCTTCTAGCACCATTAAAGATTGGACTTAATCTCATAACATCATCTGTGCTTAGTAAAAAGAATTTTTTGTTTGTTTTGTTTTTACTTTTTGCCTCATTGATTCAATCTAACCAAAATTCTAAACTTTTATTTGGGGACAGGTTGCTATGAAACACCAGGCCAAGTCCCTCATTTTATATATGTAGAGACTGATGTGTGATGGCAAAAGGGTGTTAAAATGTGTAGGGCTGTTTATCACTAAAGTAAATAGGCCAAAAGTAGTAATGCTTTGGATTTTTGTGTTTTAAAAAAAAAATTCTTTCTTCTTTGTGATTTCTTGCTGTTAGAAGTATACCCACATCTTCTTCCTCTGCCTATATTCTGTGAGTAGAGTGCCAGGCTTGGAATCAGGAAGACATGACTTCAAATCTG